GGGTGCCCGAGTGTGCCCCGCGGGCTTCCGTAGTACCCAGCCGGGGCAAGGGAGAGCCGGCGGGAACACGAGGCCGCGTGGTCTGGGGTGCGAGACGCGACACCGGAGCCGAGCCGGTGTGGGGCGCGCCACGTCCCCGCATGTTATTGAAAACACTTCCAACCCCAGGGCGGGGCAAAGACAGGCGGGGCAGGAGGGGGATGAAAAACGAGGGACACCCACCCCCAGACGTGGAAACCCGTCCCTGCGCGTCCAGTTGGAGGGGACTTGACTCCAGCAGAGCTGGGTTAGAGCTCGTGGCACTTAAGTGTATTCTTAAGAAAAAACACCTTATTTTGCTCTTCATATTTTAAAAAATTATAAGCAGGAAAAACCATAGTTAAAAGTTTTTATTAACACAAGAAAAGTTCTTAGTGTAGATCCACTTTTAATATTAAATAGGATAAGATGCTCCTAGTCCAAGAGTAATCTATGAATACTTCCAGTGTAGTCCTCTCAAATACATCTGCTTGCTGTGCATTTATATTTTAACAGGTGAAAGCCATAAACTACCAACTACTTAACCGAAAGGAAAATAGTAATTTTATCATTAGGTCTGAGTAAAACAAAATCGAACAGAATAAAATTTGTTAATTTTTTTTATCATCAGGGCATTCATTATACCTTTTTCAGAACAAGTATAATTTACATAAGTCATACAAGGCAACTTTTTATTAAAAATCAGTATTTAGCCATGTTTTGTTTAGCTTAAATGTTATTTCAATTGTAAAAACCATTTTTGGTTACAAAAAATAATAAAAAACCTTATTGAATTTCACTTGCTTTTACAAATGCCCCAAGAAGTCTTAAGCTAAACAATATCATAAGTAGAAAAACACTAATATTTAAGTAGTTTGTATCCTATTTCTGTGGTTTTTGTACATATATTGCCTGGTTGCTTTTACAGGAAACCTGACTAGAAGTTTATAACATGACGCAAGTAAAATAACGGCAAGAGCTAATCACCTTTTAACAAGAATACTCTCTAAGCAACAATGGCAAGTATCAAAGATATTATTTACTGGTTGATAATGAACTGCTACAAAATATGAAACACAATACATTTACTGGATTGTTTTTCAGAGTGCAGCAGCCCTTTGGCTCCCAAAAGGAGGATTTTCCATAAATAAAAGCTGCAAAACAATTCACATAGTGGTTGGTTTAGGCAATGCTTTTTCCTCCTTATGGTTCTTCTTCCCCACTGCCCCTGCCCTCCTGCAGTGGCAACGTATTATTAAAAACATTAAGTACCTGGGATTTGTGCCTCAAGATCAAGACATCATTTGAGCAATTTCAAATGATGTACAGCTCCTCATGTAAAAAAGATGTTTTGTGGTCATAATTACTTCAAAAAGTAATTAAATTCAAAGAACCTGGCAGATCATGTTTTAGCAATTACAGAACCATGATTCTGACACATGGCAATTTATAAGTTAGGCAAATGTGAAATGCTAAAAGATGTGAACAGCTGCTCTTCTGTGAAAGTTTAGAGTGCTGCAGAATTCCAGTAATGACTTTATTTTTTCACTTAACATAACCAGCCCACGATACAGCAAACTAAGTCATAAAGTACAAATCCAAGGAAGGTAATACCTTTACTTAGTTACAAAACTTTGGCAAATCAATACAGTACTCTTTGATAGAATAAATCACATTTTTGATAGAGTTATATATTACTTGAGTAATAATTTTCACTCCAAAAATGTCATTTAAGTACCAAATTAAAACATTGTGGTTTTTAATGGTGGCTTATAGCAGAGCACGTTATTTTATACAAATTGGTATCTTTTAAAACTATGCAATTTCTCCTAGAAAGTGAGATCCCTCTTGAAGTTTACCCAGCAGAGCAATTTTGTCTATTTAGAGGTGGTTCTGCTTTGTCCTGGTGTTGGTCCAAGCCAGGTAGAGTTCCAATGCATGAAAAGCTTTACAATTCAACCTGAAGGAGATTTAATATACTAACACCAATTTTCAAGTACTTTTCAAAAATTGTTAAAATTTTCACATAAATATGGAATCTTCAAAACTCGATAGTCATTTCAAACACTAACAATTTCAGATGTTCCCTTTTATTTAGAAACCCTGTACCTCCTTGTTTTGATCAAGTCACATAGCCTTTCTTCGGCTTATTAAAAAAATTCTACCTAAAATATAGTTGTGTTTTTTAAATAACAAATAAATATAATATCAGCTAGTAGAGATCCGGGGGACTGGGTGTTGTAACCAACTTTCATCATTTCTCTACAAATGCTGCTGCTGCCATCGGTGTCCTTATGCTCCCTCTTGCTGAAGCTGTCAATTCTTCAATCTCTGCATTTAATTTATGTATTACCCATTCCATTGCTTCTCGGCCCTTTAAAAAAATCCAATACATTTATTGTTACCAAGTGAGAGCAAAGGCACATTATCAAATAAATGGCACATCAGGAAGGAGCAGGGAGCATTACAAATCTAACTAAGCCTCACTAAGATGGACCGATTTTGTCCTTGCTGCTGCGTCTTGATTTACTGAATGACAAATACCTTGAGCAACTGGCTTGCTCTACAAACTGATTTTCATTTTGTATGCAAAAAATGTTCTCAAAAGAATCTACAATTAAGTGACAGTGCTGTTTTACTTATATCATGATTAGAGTAGTGCCCTTTTTGGGGGTGAGGTCAAACCCCTTTTCTTTTTGTCCATAAAAATTAAACCAAAATCCTATATAAGTTCTAAACCAAAGATTTAAACCAAAATTCTGAAAGATCTGGTCCCTGACTTCTTAACCATTCTCCCCTGGGACTCTCTGCAATTCCTCGAGGAAAAGAAGCAGTGGCATTTCATTTTTCCTGCCTTAGGGACTTTGCACACTCAGCCCATCTGAAATGCTCTCTGCACATCCCTCACAACCAGTCGCTACTATTCAGCACTCACCACCACTCACTGAACACACAGTGAACACTCTTGAACCTTCCTGTACTTTTCTTTTCCTAATGATTTGCTGTGCAATGAATGTCGCCTTCCCTCGTTCCACGAGGGCGGGGACCGCATTTCTTTATTTCCTGCTGCCCCCCCAAGTCTAGCCCAGCACTCTGCCTGGCACAGAGTGGGAATCTATCTATGAATATCTTTGGACTGCTGAATGATTACATTAAATGTTATAGAACAGTGCACTAAGCATCCTTTTCTCTAAACTTATTTAAATCATGTGCTTTCAATGGGGCAAAAATTAGCTGAGGTGGTGGTGAAAAAAATATTTTTTTATGTATAAAGCATATCTACCTACCTACCACCTACCTTTCTATATACTGATCTACCTATCATCTATCATATTAAGTAACTACACGGGGTAAGGTGATTAGGAAAAAAATGTCTAAAATGGATCTGGGACAGGGGGAGATGATAATGAAAAAAGGTTGAGAATTGGTGCTTTAAACGACGACACATGGCGATATGCAATTGAGCATTTCCCACATGCTGGTCCCTGGGCCATGCACTTTCCTTATCTCATTGACTCTTCAAGTCTAACCCTGTAAGATGGGCAGTTAATCTCAACTTCACAGATGGTAAACTAAGGCACAGAAAGGTTAACTTAACTGCCCAAGGTTGAAAGGGCTGGTAAGAGTTAGAGCTTGGGTGTGGACACCCAGATGTGCTGAGCCCCAGAGCCTGTGTGAGTAACAAACAAAACCCACGAAACGAATAAAAGCAACCAGGAGACAGCCTCACATACTTTACTGGCGTTGGAAGATATCGTGTTCGCCATCAGCCCTTCCAGGTAACTACTGAGGCTGACTCCTTTCACAGTGATGATGGCCTCTTGAGTCAAAACAGTTCTGGAACAAAACAAATTCACACAGCCTCAGAACCATCTGAATTTCATTTTTAAAGGAAATATTTGGTAAAAAAATTAAAACACCTGTAAAATAAGTTTGTTAAAACATTTTTTTCTTACCTTTCTGGGTCCTGAGGATGTGGTTTATATATAAGTCTCTCATCTACTGAAACCATATTTGTAAATGAAATCTACAGAAATTAAAAAAAAAAAAAATCAAATCATTTTGGAAATCAAGATTAGAAACATTTCCAAAATTAATTTACAAACCCAAATCTTGCTAGCTAAGTATAAAGAACAAATAAACCACTTAGATATTACTGTGCAAATAGAATTCAAATTTTACTATTCATTGCTTACTTTTTATTAAAAAGTAATTCTACAAAAGCATTACAAGAGTAATAACATGCACAGAATCCTGAATTCATTTTATTGAGTGCTGAACCCTAGAAATGCTAAGCAGGCTCACTGGAGCGGTGAGGCTAAGCTGCAAACAGGCAAAGATGACAGAACATGTGAGTGCTGACTGCCTAAACCCCCACGCAGAGCCAGATTCACCTCTTCAGTTCTAAGAGAAACAAAAACTTAGGCCAAATAGTTTAAAATAAAAACAAAAGGAAGCCAAAACTTACATTAGTGGATTTAAGTTCCATTGTTTTCTCTACAGGATCAACTACAGAATGTTCTTGCACATATGTTTTGGTTCTTGCTGCACCAATCAGCTAAATAAAAATCCACAATTAGTAATCAGAGGAAGGATTTCTAACAAGTGTATCAATAGTTTACTTGAAAGTAAAATGTGTTAGTCTTGAACCAAAAATCTGTTTCTTTAAAAAAAAAAATGAGGCATCAGACAAAGGTCAGAAAGGCCTATCTGAGAGAGAGTATCAGGAATTCACACCCCATGGATGAGATGAGATTCCACAAAACACCCTCCCAGAGGCGCTTAGCAAGCCGCCCACCGAGGAGACGTACTGTAGGAGGCAGGATGCTGCACCTGCCAATGTGACCAAGGAGCAGGGGACTGAAACGTGGGGCTCAGAGTATCTGGAGAAATCAGGAAAAGGAGAGCTCAGGAGTGCCAGTCAGCATCTTCCTAGAGCCATCCAAGGGAGAGGGTGCCAATACCTCATTCTCCAGACAGGAAACAGCCATGTAATAAAAGAGGACATTACACCCAGTGAGTGGCACTCCCAAGGCTCTGGCCCCAAGGGAATCACCCAAGTTTGCTTATTTCTGTGTCCCCATTACCTAATGCAGTAGTTTGTACAAAGGAAGCAATCAGTACCTTCCTGTTGAAAACTGTGCACTTTCGTTTTCTGGGTGGATCTACCTTCGAGAAAGGGAACTTCTACCGAAAACTAGGTCCACTTATCATACCAGAGTTCTCCCATACTACAAATTTGCATTCTGGTTTCTTGCTGGTTAAATCAAATCACTAAAGCCTGCTTGCTTGTACCTGAATAGAATTACGTTTTGAACTGTATGGGGAGGAGGACCAGACCTTGGAATAATGTGGCAACAGCCAAGTCCAAGAAAATGCTGCTCTCCACATGTGCACGAACCACTGCTGACAACACAGCGGTCACCTAACAGTCCACCAGATCATTACTTCCAAATCTTACTATTCGTCTCAACTTGCTGGCAAAAGCAGGAAAAGCAGAATATAACTCTTTTTAGATTACAGAGCATTACCTGGCTTCCTTCAGAAAGTTTTATTAGGTGCCTTCATGAAGACTGTAATAATATTTCCAATTCATTATACACTCATAACTCAAGTTTATTATAATACAATTTGAACTGATGCAAAAATGACATTTAGAATCTGCTCCCACAACCTATTTGAAATTATAATGTGGTCTGGAAAACTTTCTCCCCAGCAGTCACATTTCTGCAGGAATAAAGACACACTTACAGATTTCACAATGGAAGGCAGTCCCCACTCTGTGCTGAGAAGTCTATGGCTGTGCAACTTTCCAGAAGGATCTACATGTCTGTCCAGTACATCGACTCCAACCACGCTTGGGTTCATAGGGTTTGGGTATTTCTGCATTGCAGCTGTTGTAACAGTTTCCCACGGGTGGCTGCAACATAAAGCACAAACATTTCAAAATATGCATATAAATTAAGCCAGTTTTATAATCCACCAAATTATTCTTTACAATGGAAGTTTAATTTACTTAGGGACAATTATTTTCTGAAACACTGACTGAAAGATGATTTTGGGGGCTCAATCTACATTTTAAACCTATATAGGTTTCAGTATTTTTCAGCGCACAGGTCATATGGTGCAATTAATTTCTTTAAAGATTAAAATAGCTTATAGAGCATCACAGTAGTTTCTTAAACAATCTTTCCTATTACCCATGTCCACTTTCTCATGTAAATTGTTTCTAAGAACCAAATTCATAAAAATGTAGTTAAAAATTATGTTCTACAGAAACAAGCAGCAGAAATTGTTATATTATCCTTTTGTCTGATCCCAATTACAGTATGAAGCTATAAAGTAACAAGAGTAAAGTAACTTATATGCACTGTAAATTCTTAGTGATTACAAAAAGATTCAAACATCACTGATTTAAATACCATATTAAAAATGTATTTTTCTCTATATTAAGGTAGTAAATAACAGTGACCCCGCCAGTCAATCTTTATCCATTGCTTTGCCCCAAGGAATGATTCTGATTGGCTTGGAAAAGATCACTCAATATAATAAAATGTTTTTAAGATGCTCCTAATATGCTATTTTCTAATATTCTTCCTAATATAGTAAGATCTGCTCATCTTCTAGGATTGAAATGGAATTTGCCGCAACTTTATCTCTCGACAAAGCACGTGAGCCTGGTGATTCGAATGTGATGTACATCCGTTCACTTTACAACTTATGTGCACAGGAGGCTGTACAAAAAACACCCTGCTCAAAGGAGCCCGCGTTAACTACACTGACCAGGAAAGGTGCCTTTAACTTTTCAGAGAACTGAGCCTGACAGCTACTTCGCGTCCACAGAAGGAAAATCTCAATACCATTCATTTCCCAGAACCCAGGACAACTAGTGACATTATTTTTAATGTTTTCATTTGTGCTACAATATTAAATGAATCTCATTTTGTTTTTAATCTCAGGCCTTACTCAGCAATCAATGCAGTTATAAAAGTGGAGCTACTTTATTAATCTACACAGTCCCCACACATAGGACACAGGACAAGCACTGACTGTTACCAAGGCGACTATCTAAAATGAAAATCAGACAAACCCTTTGCCCAGCTCCATCTAGTACCCTACCATGGCCAGCTGGACTTCTTGCACTTAACTCTTTCCCCCATCCCCTCAAAAAAAGAACAACTGCATGGCTTCAGGGTAGTTGTGTAACATTTGTAATTCAGCCCTTCTCTCTTCTCTGAGCCAACCTGAAAACACCAGTGTTGACTTAGCTTGAACTAAGACTGCTTTATGAAACAGAACTGGCTCAAACATTACAAAGGCGGCCTATTATGATTAAGTCTTCCCACAATTAATTTAAACTCTATCAGTATAATTATGTGACAAGACCTCACACTGAAACATTCAAAGACAGCACCAAAGGGCAGTCTGAAGAACCTGGTGGTGGCTTACTGACCTGTCCAATTTCTTCACCTATAAAACGAGGCGGGAGACACTGTTAACTCCACTGAAGCAACAAATTCTGCCAGTCCCAAGAACAGTACCTGGTACATAGTGGGCACTCACAGCTGCTGAAGGAGTCAATGAATGACTTCACAACTGAATGCCAACTACATGCAAGGCCTCAGAAGAAAGTATGGGAAACCAAAGATGGGTAAGACACAGAATGATGACTTAGATACTATTGTTAGATAGGGTCATCCTTAAGATGGGAGATTTTTAGGAGAGAATACTTTAATTTCAGGTACATGAAGTTTGAAGGGCCAGTGGGGCATGTGAGTAGAGAGGTCTGGTAGGACCTGAAAATAAGGATTTGAAGTTCAAGACTGGCTGAAGCCCAAGGTACAGATTTTGGTGCACCCTAAGTGTGTATGAATCAGCTGGGACCTTGATGGAAAAGCCCTGAGTATCTAGAGAGAGTCAGGATGAGGACTTCTTCTCCCAGGACATGCACAGCTTTTACTTGAACATGTCTATCTTCTGGGAGGAGGGTCCCACAGCCTTTCTCAAATCTCAGAGAAGTCTGTGACAAAAAGAGAAAAAAAACAATTAAGAATCTCTGATAAAATGCCAGACAAGAATCTCACTGAACACTTACAACGAAGGGGGAGATTAGAGGGAAACATTAAAAAAGGCCAGAGCGGAGACGGGCTGGGGACAAACCANGAACACTTACAACGAAGGGGGAGATTAGAGGGAAACATTAAAAAAGGCCAGAGCGGAGACGGACTGGGGACAAACCAGGGAACAGAGTGTCAGGGAAGACAGAGAAGAACGTTCCAAGGGGACACAGTGCCAACAATAGAGAAGAACGTTCTAAGGGGACACAATGCCAACAATAGAGAAGAACGTTCTAAGGGGACACAGTGCCAACAATGGAAGCATTTAAACCTGGAAGATCACAAGGAATAAACCACCCAATCCCAGGGGCTGAAACGGAGCAGTGAAGAGTGCGACCCAGGTGAAGAACACTAGAAACACTACAAATTTAGGGTCTTTGCCCCAGAATGATAATAGACCAGGAAGAAAAGATATCTGTGTCTGTTTCACTAAGTAGGTAAGAAGTTTACAACTTCTTTTAAAATTGCCCAGGGAAATACTGTTAAATCAAATGGTTAGACTAGAACACACTACAAAGCTCTGAAAGTTAAAACAGTGTGGCTACCAGAGCAAGATCAGTGGAATTGAAAGAAAAGCTGAGAAATGAATTCACATATAAATCTGGGCAGTCTGGGACAAGGGTGGCGTTGCAAACCAGGCAGAAGAAGATGAATTGGTCCAGTGTGCTGGGGTGACTACTAACTATTTAGGCAATGACAACACACTGGCCTATACGTGTGGTTCTTTTGTACATGGAATCACAGACTCAGAAGGAAATTTAACTCCCAACATCCAACTGATTTGAGGCCCATTCACTTCCATTACTACAAGTTTCTGCTGACCCAGAGACGTCACTGAGTGCGGCCTCCAGGACACCGCGCACCTGCGGCCCTGTCCAGCACTGCCCTCCGTGTCTCAGCTGGAAATGCGTGACCTGAGGTCACACCGCTCACTGGAGCCAGCGCTGGACCTTGAACACCGATCCAGGACTTCCTCAAGGCAACGAGCTGCCGGAAGTTTCGCCTCCAGGTCGCCTGAGCTCATCAAGTCACACTGGAGGTAAGAGGCTCCACCCAAACGGCGGCGGGGCCACCCAGGGCTCTGGACCAAGCCCACGCTTCCTGTGGGGATTCTGGGGTCCGTGTCCCACGGGCTTGGGAAGACCGGGTGTGCAAACGAGGGGTCGCTCGCACCCCGAGTGTCGCCCAGGACCTCGTGCTCCGCGACGCTCCCACCACCCCGAGGCTTACCAGCCGCAGGAGCCTCGCCTCTGGCCCCCCTCCCGGCCGGGGCGGGGGCTGAGCCTGGAGGTCGGGGCCCTGTGCCCTGGAGGCCCATTTCCCGGGGCAGGGCGGCGTGGGGGCCCCCGGAACCCGCCGGGGCTCAGGCCCAGCCACCCACCTTGGCCCGACGCCTGGAAGCTTCCTGAGGGGCGCCTCGACCTCGCCACCATTCCAGGCCCGACCTGCCCTCACACGCCCCACAGCGGCCCCGCGCCCCACCAACCCGTCCCACATCCCGAACTCACTCAAAGACGTGCTCGGAAGTCCAGATCTTCATGGTGCCGGCGGCCTGCGCGGTGTCCGGGCGGCGCAAAAAGGCAAAGAGGCCACACAG